AGCTTTATTTTTCTTACAGGAAGATAAATTGCCTGTTCATGCTACGAGGAGCCCCATCATAACTCGCATTAGCTTAGAAAGGCTTTGATTTCCATTCTGGCTCACTGTATGTTCTTAGTCCTGTTCTTTTACCATCTCGCATCCCAACCTTGAGTTCCCGTCAATCCTCTTAAACCAGCAGCTTCACTTCACCCATTGCTCTTACTCTTGGCTTATTTTCTGTGACAATGCGTTCTGCAAAACCTTAGCAAACCTCCTTCAGGAAGAAAGCAACCAAGGGATCTACCAAGTTCTGGGCATGACTTATTTCCCATGTTTACAGGTCTCTGGGCTGTTCTACATCGAGAAATGTAATAAGATGTAGCATTGAGTGCAAACACCCAATCTGGGACTGCTCTATCTGTGTGATGCTGCTTATTATGGTAAATAGATGTGGCTCAATGTATTTCACAGGCAATAAGAAAGGAGAGAGCCATAATGTTCCTGTGGAGTTTCAAACCAATTTGCTTTCCATTAATTCTTCTGTCTTCTTTTTGCTTTTGTTAGTATTAAAATTTAATTCAAGCCAACTAGATAGCTTCTGTTTTATATTCTTTTCTCAGCATTTTCTAAATATCCAGCTGTTTAGAAATAAAGTGTTTACTCTTTGGGGGAGGTTACAGACTTTGGAACAGTGTCAAAAAATGATTACTAGATTTCTTTCTTTACACTCCTTAGAAAATTAAAGACAGCAGCCTTCATTTGTCCAGTTTATCTATCCTCCACATTCAAAATAGCATCACTGACTTTTTAATTCAAATATGAGGAGCCAGTATGAAAAAAAAAATAACATACGTGTTCAGATATTTGAGTAAATAACTGAGACAGAACTGAATCGCTCAGTGATCAGACAGCATAAAATCTGGATTTACAAAGTGCCGTTTTTAGAGTGGGAAGATATTTACCATTTTCCCTGTTGTGGGTTTTTAATGTTTCACCATATTCATTCACAACACAGCAAGCTCCCGTTTGTTACTGGGGGAAGCCTAATGGCAAACGAGCTGTTTAATATGAGAGTCTTTCCTGATCATGCCCTGTTGAAGCCAATGTAGTAGGAAAAGGGACAAATAGGGCTCAGTAGGATAGAGAAGAAAATTTGCTTTTATCAAGAATGTGTCTGTGGTAATACAGAATTCTAAGCTCTGGCAAAGAGTGTCTCTTCCTCTCCTGTGCAGTTAAAAATTGTTCTCCTCATCTGTGCTGCTTCAGTTAAATTATGCATGTGTTAACAGTAATTTGTTTTCACATTTGTTTACAGCAAACAAGCTCACCATGTAATATATTCAGTGGCATTAGTTTTTGTATTGCACCTTGGGCTCTTGCTGGGCTATCATGTGCGAGACCTTTTATGGCTCATAATGAAAAGAGGATCCCTACCACAGCCAGACGTTTTGTACCACCTTCACTGGCCGTAACTTTGCATAAGTTAATAGCACCACTTTTTTTCAGCCTTTGCACGAGTGTGGCAGCTCTGCCTCTAGACTCCAGCTCAGACCAATGTCCTTCCAAGGAAAGTAGCTTCAGTACATGGGAACAAGTGGTTTGTAAGGCAGGCTGCTGCCCAGCAAATAGCTCTGCTCTGCACTGCCACCTCTGCCATGCGTGGTACAACTTCTCCCCTTTTCTACTTCTTGATTTCTGCTGATGAGCCAGACAGCTGGTTACCAGCGTGACTTTCATCTGTCTTTTTTTGCTCCAGCATCTCTCATACAAGACAGTGTTGCTTTAGCCACCATGTTCTCAGGATTGAAGTGGCAGACTTTGTCAGCATGGAGATTTCATGTGTCCATTGGCTGTGCTGGGATTTCTCCTTTTCGAGTCACGCTATCAGCCAGCTCCAGAGAGGCTAATGTTCCCTTAGTCTTGTGCAGTAACGTCTCACTGCTGGTGGAGTAAAACATTCCAAACCCTTGAATCCAGGACTAGACCTCCTTTTTTTGTGAAACTGTGTCGGTTGCTCCTTAAGTAATGCCTCTTATTTATTTCCATGGAAACTACAACAGGTACAAACAGCACGATGGCGCCACTTGTAGAACAAATTCTCAGATACCAAACACTATTTTTCAGTGTAAGTCACCACCATTAGCTACATATTTTCACCAGCTATAAACAAGAAGCTGCGTGTCTAGGAGGCATTACTTTCAGAGCAGCACTAAATAGCTATTTATACATTTCACTACTGTATAATGATGCCAGAAAAAAGTTCTTTTCAGTTCCTCTACATGATGACTGCTGCTTTTATCCACTAATTTTATCCATGCACAATTGACTTCATCTGAGAGAAAGTCTTGTGTGTGCATATCTAGTCTGTGATAGCTCAGATTGTGTTCTTCAGATTATTTTCAGTGAAGACAAAACGTAGAACAGTGTTGCTGTTTATGATAGAGTACTTTTTGGAAAAAAAAAAAAGACAAAACACAGTGGATTTTTAAAGTAAATTTTACTTTATTGTTTGGAATAGCTGAAAGCAGTTTTGCTTCATAACACATTTGGAGCTTGCTTCATGAAATTTTTCCCATGTCAGTGGTTAAAAGAGTGTAATTTTATTTTAGTGGTTATACATTTATTATTATTATTATTATTTTAATGTTGCACAGTCATTGCTGCTACTTCACGTGGGGTTGTGGTGTACAGTAAGGATGAAGATCACCATTAACCTAGCAGGCAGCAGAAATGAGGAGGCTCTGGTGTTAGCGAGTTTAGATTGCAGAGGAGGGTGCAACTGGGTGTCACGTTCTACCCTCTGCAATCTCACAGTAGGTTCTGAAATGCATCACCTCCTCCTTTCACAAAGGAGTTTGTTACTGCTCTGCTCTCTGGGAAGATCAGAGAGAAGGAACAAGGTCTTCTCAAGAGGAGAGACAAGAAATGAGGGTAAGAAAAAATACTGAGCTACTTAAAATAAACTGTGGCTGTGTAGGGTAGAAGTTGAGTGGGTTCAGCTGTGGCACCGCTGGGGAGCAGGGAACAGCTTTCGTACTTTGTTCTGGTGAGCAATCCTGCTGCCCCAGCATTTGTAACCTGCACGGTGCAAATAGCTCTACATCACTGTCAACAAGGGCTGTAGCAAAGCAGTTCATCTGAAAGGTGTTGCACCTTTACAGCCAGCTGCTTAGAGCAGCCACCAAAGGGCCCTTTTTGATCCTCTTTGTCAGCTTGTTTTCCAAGAAGAAAGATAATGCAAAGGAGCGGGGTGCAAACAAAAGCTTTTTTTTAATAAGTTTTGTGACGTCGCTGTAAAAAACAACATGTTCTCATAGTTTAGGAAAAAAAAAAAAACAACAACAAAAAAAACCCACAACAAACAAGAGTAAAAATAGCAAGTCACAGCAGTTGTCAGATCCCTGCGCCGGTGTTTGGTGACGCCGATGCTAGCTGCAGCAGATGGAGACTTGCAAACATGCGGTAAAAGCTTGGACAAAGTGATTTTCCTGAGCTTGAGATAGCAGTGCTGTGAAATGTTTCTTTCTCCTCAAATGTCATCTTTCTTCACGAATAACACTTTTGGAGGGCAGGAGGTAGGGATGTAGCAGTGCTTTAGGGGCCAAGCCAGCTTTCCATCCAACAAGCTGCTCTTTCTGTTGATGGCGGCTATTGATGAAGCACGTGCCAGGGACATTGCAAAGACTGCAACAAAAGCCATTTTGCTTTCATGGGGAGGGAAGAAGTATATTTGCTCGTTCTCTTGCTTTAGTAATCATAATCATTGCAAAATCTTAAGGACATGGATTGTGAAGGTGGATAGGCTTCAGGAATTAAAAATCTGAAGCTGTGCTCTATGAGATACGCTTACATTGTTAAGAAATTGCTTCTGTCTATCTTCTGCCCGCTTAACATCATCGACATTTCCTGAATTTAGAGATGTCACAGAGGTCTTGCTGAACCAGCAAATGCCAGGGATGTAACCACAGACCTCAAAGCGATACCTCTTGAGGGTGAAATGAATGATTATGAATTACTGTATGAAAGACAGAGTTGCAAAACCATTGCTCTTCTCTGATTCTCAGATTCTTCTCTCTGTCTTTACTGGGATGTAAGACAGCATGTTTCAGCATGACTTTTCTTGCTCTGTAGACCTCCATAGAGCTAACTCAAAAACCAGAAGGTTACCTTGTTGAATGAGGCATGAGAAGGCTTCAAAGGTCAGACTACGTTTAGAGGACCTGCATTGGTAGATGCAAGCAACCAAGTCCTCTAATCTTAGTGCTTACCAATAGAAACAAGAAGCAGAAGGGGTTCTGGTTAAACTGAGTTGGAAATACATTTAGGAGTAATGGTGCTAATGGCACTGGTGAAAGAGTATCAGTAGCCTCTGTAACATGCATATGATACCAGGCTGATGGTCTCACTCTCCACCAGATAGTCCCATATCATCTTCATTAGAAAAAAAACTTAAGTTGAAAAAGAGTAAAAACCAAACAAACAAGGGAAATGGATTAGAGCTGAAAAATACTTAGCTTTTCAGTAGGACTTTGGTAGAAGTGATGGAAGCCCTTACAACTATCAGTAGTAAGGTTTTTCTCCCATATCCCATTTCCCTTTCTCTGGAAAGAGGTATTTTAAAATGCAGCAAAAGTTGACTTTTTTTTTTTTTTTTTAATCTTATTTCGTGACCCAGCAGGATGCTGACTAGAAGAGGAAAATGAAATTCCTTGTGCTGGTTAACCAGGCAGCAACCACAGAGGAGATGTCAAGGATGTGCAGACCTGTCTGCTCATTGCTTTCTCTTTTGTAGACCAGTTATGCTGCATATATATGTAATCTTGATGTTACTTGCAAAAACGAAGTTTGGAGCTGGAATATAAGTTGAATAAAATAAATGCTTTTCTTATTATTGATAAAAGCAACCGCTGCTGCTTATGCAAAGTTGTTACTGATTTACATTTTTAGAATTCTTTCATCTACATGTTCTTGTTATAAAGTAAACCATAATCCCACATATGTTTGTTTTTTTCCCACAGACAGCAGTGCCAGCTGGGGAAGGTCTTGCATCTGGCCATGTGCTCCTGTCACCAAAGCCACTCCTAAGGCACCAGGGCAGCAGTTCACAGGGTGATTCAATGAACTGGATATAGCACTGGGAAGAAATGGAAGTATTTTTTAAGGTCAGTATTAACACGGCCTGCTGATGACTAGCATTGCTGCTGGAGGAATTTCTGGATCCACTGGGGTGGAATAGGGATCTTTTCATAAGAACAGTACTCACTTTTTTCTGATTTTCTCTATTCATATTTGTGAGATTTTCATTACTGAACTGTTAAATGATTCTGTGTAGCAGAGAAAGTGCATTTTAATGAAACCTACATACGTAAATAGTACATATGTAGATATTTATGTGACCTGTACATGCTCTCTTTTCAGTGACTTCAAAAAGGTTAATCTCTTCTTTGTTGGAAGAAATAGAGGGTTGGGTGTGATCTGTCATGCTGTATATGAATGGGAATGCCAAGGAGGAGCAGCAGCAGACTGACAGTTAATCATTACAGACTTCCACTGAACATTGGACAAGGTGTAGGAGGAAACATGGATGTACCTTGATTGGGTCTTAAAACAAAGAAGGATGTAACTGAGCTGGCTCGATATGTCAGGGCAGAATGGCTGAGGCCACAGTCCTAGGGCACTGTCAGTGAATTGCACTGCGTGTACTTCTGTCTGCTTTGGTCTTTTTTCTTCTGTTCTAGCCTCATGTTTTTACTTTATGTGTGCTGGTGATGAATACTGTGTGAGGTCTGTAGTGGGACACATTGTTTAATATCTCTATATGTGACCTGGAGGAGGTCAGGGAGTTTGCTCTTGTTGCATTTATGAAGAAAAGAAATTCACAGTGAGAGTTGGGATTTCACTTATGTTCTTGGAGGTTCTTATGACCTGCCTGGAGAAAGCCCTGAGCAGCATGCCTGAAGCCAGCAGCAAGACTACAGACCTCCTCAGGTCCTTCCCAACCTGAAATACCCTATGAGTCTCTGTCTCTAGGTGTAGTGCTGCTGCCTTTTTAAAAAGGCTCCCTGGTGCTACTACAGATATTTGCTGTTTTGCTGTGTCTTGGTGCACTTGTAAGATCCTCTGAGCTGCAGCAAGGTGATCTGTGGTACTGAAGTCAGGAGCAACTTGTAAAGGAGCAGTACTGAAATGCTTTGCTTGTCTAACATGGAAAGCCAAAGCACAGCGTTCAGAAATATATGCTCCCCCAGGAGGTTGACTGAAGCTGTAATACCCTTTCTTGGTCCTTGAGTAGCAGGTTTTGCAATCCCTGCTGAAGCTGGCATGGCTAAAATGTGACTTTTTATTTTGTCTAGGGTCATGTTTCCACAGCCTTTTATAGAGAAGCTTCTGCCTCCAACCCTCAGGGGTTGGCAGCTGTGTTTCTGATGCATGCCATGTTCTCACGTCCTGCAGCATGGTACAGGAGTGGGAAGAGGTTTAGAGAAAGTTCCGATAGATTTGCTCTTGAGGTTTTCAAAGTCAGGGTCTGAGAAGAGGTGGGACCAGGGTAGCAAAAAGATTAAGAACCAGCTCGGCACGCCAACACCAACTGCTGGGAAACTGTGGAGTGGGAAGCTTGCAAATTTCTGTGATTTCATTCTTTTGTTTGATAGCTTTTTTAATGACTTTTTCTATTAAAGACTTGATCGCAGGCTATTTTAATTTACCTTGCAGTCTCCACCATTCTTGGTTTTGCTCATGGTTTTTGAAGTTTTCTGGTATTCATAACTGAATGGTGAAGGTGCTGTCTGATGGTAACTGAAGATGCAGCGGTACCAAGGTCTTGGTTGTTACTTTCTTTTCAAAATACTTTCTGAACAAACATTTCTCAAAGCCAGAGAAGAACTGCACTGTGTCAGTTTGGAACAACAAATAAAACCCTCTTTGTCTTCAAACTGAAGTAAATCTGTGATGTTTGTCAGGGTTTCGTATTATTGCTCTCAGTAGGTTCTTGCCAAGACACAGGAATTGCAAACTGGATGAGGCAACAGCTATCTCAAATGGTCACTGATTGCAGCCTCTGCAGAGGAATACAGGAGTATCTCTCATGCACATTTCTGGAAAAACATCCATTTGGAGGCTGTTTACTTCTGCTCTGAAAAAAAGGATGAGTTATCAGAAAAGCAAGGTTTTTGTTTTTTTTTAAAGAAAAGAAAGCTTGTGGATAGTTCATGTTGAGTATTGTGCCTGTAGAAACATGAGGAAGAGAAGGATGGGTATATAATTTTTGTTACTTGTGGAAAGTAGCAACGTACCTCAGTGAAATCAACGATATTAAAAAATAAGCTTGTCATGTAGTTCAGCATTTGTGGGGAAAATATAGAGCAGAAATATAGACAGAAAGATTTCAGGGCTTGGATGAGTTGGTTTTCAGCACTGTCTTGAGTCACCATAAGTAGTTTGAGGCCATTTTTATCAACTTGGAAATTATGTTTGTTATGTTCTTGGAGAACTTGCCTTGAGTGCACTCCTTGACATCCGTGTTGATCCTTATCTGTTTGTGTGGCTTTTGGTGCATACAGTCACTTTGCTCCCCATAACAGTACAGACCTTCCCATCCCCTGCAGGAAATACTTTCTACAAGCTCTTCAGCACTGCCCTGTGCTGTGCCAGGTCTGCAGGGTCCCCAGGATTTGTATAAATAAAGCTTCCTGTCTGCAACTTTCAGTTGCATCTCAGAACTGATGCATAGCCTGACCTGTTTCAGCTGTTGAGTGTGGCAGGACTGTCTGCAAGTGGCAAAATCACAAGCAAAACAAGCTTCTAACTATGCAGTTTTCAGACGCAGTAATTAGGAGACCAGTGAACTGTTGGGCAGACAACATATCCCAGCACATCCGTTTCACACCTATTTGGTGAGGTACTAATGAGATTTAAGCACTGCACAGCTCTGGTTGACCTTTGCACTAAGTCAGATAAACATTTCAAAAACATTTATACAGTCGTCGTTATAATTCTCTGAAATATCTGCTGCTCCTTTAATAATTCACCCTTATGTTTATTGCACTGGATAGCTGGACCTCCTTCTGCATGCACAATCTTTTCTCTTGCTGTTTTTTCTCTCTGCAGGCCAAACTTATCGGCTGCTAGTACATCACCAGCCACCTGCTGTGGGCTATGTATCTGTTTTCTTAATTGCAGTGAAATCATTTATGCCAACTAATGCCACATTACAACAGCATAATTTAATTTGGAGCTGTTCATTATAGTTCTATTACCCTTCAGTTTTGGCATCCTCCCAGAAAAGGACCCACGTGTGGTAGGTTAAACAGTTTCTTGAAGTGATAGAAATGCACCCCACACGTCTCGCTGCCAAGTCTTTCCTGCTGCAGAATTCTCATGGAATTACATTTATTGGGTTCTGCTTGTGTCATGCTGAAAAGCAATAATAATGGCATTTTGTCATAGACTACTACTCTGGATTGCAGTCTTTGGGTATTCTAACTTAATCGTGTTATGCTACAAAAAGATAAAGATTTTTAGAATGCATTACAAATGTCGCTTGCTCTGAACGTGAAGATTGTATGGAACTGTCCACTAAGTCAGTAGACAGCAAAACTAGATGAAATTCAGGGTGCCTCACAATAATTCTCTATTGGGGATTGTAATGAAAGCTGAACTTGTGAGCATTTGGCTTTTTGTAACAGTTGAAATATAATGCACATGGTTTAAAGCATATGCTTCATTATAATTTAAGGTGTTAACATGCAGAATGGGGTTTATAAACCGTTCCACTGTTTCTCTAAAAGTATTTATAGTACATTTTTGCAATTAATCAAAAGCAGACATTGCAAAAATGAAAATCACATTTATTGCCAAGATAATAAATGTCAAGTATACTGTTAGACAGGCTTTGTGTTACTTCAGTTGCAACTTTAAAGAACATTTTAAGTGATTGGAAAAGGGAAGTTTATTAAAAGCTCAGCAGGTCTTCTCTGCACTCTACTGTTATTAGTGTAAATCATTGCATCGTGTGATAGAAAATCAACCAACATGTCAGGAACAGCTTTTAACCAGGTCTTCTCTGTAAATACCATTAGCTGCAGGAAGAGCTAAAACCATAAACCTCCCTGATTCCTCTGACCACTAAATGCAGTGAGATTTCAGAAGAAAGGGTAGTGCAAACCACCCAGAGTAGGTCACTGCTAAGCTTGGCTTGGGATGCATCTACATAAACTTTGAGTAGCGACTGGACAGCTGACAAAATGAGCTGGTTTTCCGTTCACAGGAGAAACACAGCCATGTATTTTTTCCCCATAGCAAATGCTTTGCAATGGGGGAAATATTTGCAAGAGACATCATCAGAGTTCATGGGCATTTGTACAGAGAAGTTGTGTTATCTGAGAAGCGTCATCATGGGGCAGTGATTGCTAACACTGCAGAGTGTTTTCTAGACATCAATGAAGGGAAATTAAAGCTGGAGGAAGCAGGACACGTGAAAGCAGTGTCAAATATTCAGAGCACTCTCACCGCTGGATAAGTATGGTAAGAAAAGCTGCACACAAGTTATGGAAGTAAAGTAGTTTATGTTACCTAGGCCAGTTACAGAAGAATTTGTAGTGAAGGACACACGGTTTATGACTGCCACGAGAAGTCTTGGTGTGCCAGTGATCTGACTTCTGCATGCCTATGGACTTTTCTGCTCTCAGCAACTCCAAGGCCTGTCCAAAGCTGTGTCTGACTCACCAGATCTAGCCTCAATGCAGCTCCCTCCCAGAAACACAGACAGAGCACTGCCTACAAACCAGCACTGCGGGGGACTTAAAATAAATCCAGACCCCTGGAACAGATTCATGCCTGGGACACCTGCTGGTTAATTTTGTAACTGCTAAGTACTCATGGTACTCATGTCAGCATTTGACTTCACTCCAAGTGATGCTCAGCCAGAAAGGAAGGACTTGATTATGGCTTTCCCCAGGACCAGCCCACACTTGGCTAATTCACATGTGTACTACAACATGGAAGAACAGCAACTAGTTAGGTTTCGGTCTGAAAAGAGTGATTTCATAATTCCACCTCCATAAGATGGTATTAAGTTTTAATTCCTGCTTTCAAATGGAAAGGATCAGTGTTTTCACTGTGGAGCAGAACTACAGCCCTGCAGCAAGGCCTTACCTCCAGCCCTTCCCTACTCCAGTTTCAACAGGGAAATGCACTTCAGTTGAATTTTCCTTCATGCTTCTTTTGTGGTGAGAAGATCTGAAATTGCCTTTTGGATTCCCATAGTGACCAAAGGGACAATTTGGACATCCAGTCCTTTAAGAAGCCTGCAGCATTTCAGCATCTCCTTTCACATAAATTGGCCTCAACTTGCGTGTGTGATGGGGCACACAGTGTCGCACCTATTCAAGCAAACTTTCATTTTTCTTCTGGCTTTTCTAAGTAGGTCTGCTGATAACAGTTGAACTACCTAAAATCTCGGAGTCAGTTGTCAGCAGAGATAGGTAGAATTGGAAGAAACTGGACATGCTTGTCTGAAGTGCTCAGTAATATTTATTATCTGCCAATAAGCAGCAATCAGCAAAACCCATCATAAGCAGTAAGTGTTCTAAGTGTCATAATGAGCTCATTTATTGAAATCTGAATGCCATTTATGTTGCCCTTTGGTAATAATTTGTGATTGCTACTCAAAGAAAGCCATCCTGTATTCAGTACAGCTAAAAATTAGGTGCATAACCCAGGTTTTCCACTGCAGTCTGAAATGCTGTAAAGTACATTAAAATTATCTTTGCATTTGTGTTTCAATGGGTTACATCCATGTCATGTATTTTTTAAACAAGAGAATCTTGCTGGAATTTATTTCAGGAAAATGTGTGTGTAGATTACAGGTATCCTTTGGAGAACTTTAGACATAACATTTTTAGCACATAAAACACACGTTATGATGTTGGCAACATGTGGTCGCTTAGTAACTTTTATTCATACGTTTTGAAGATTTTGCTACTTCAGGTTTGTCATAAGACAAACCTTATTTTTGGTCTTGGTTTTTGTTCTATCTTTGTTTCATCTCCCTTTTTATTTACTTGTTGCTGACTGCTGAGGTGTTTATCTTTTGTTTCTTCCTCTAGACAGAACATTTATTTAATAATTTCTGAGACACAGAATTTCTTGAAAGGTATAATGCTGTGATAACTCTCCTTAGCTGCTTTTCATCCTTGTGTTTAAATGCCAGTTTAAACACAGAAGTATTATAAAACTGTGTTTGATACTGATAGGCAGGCAGAAAACGAGGCAAGGTTGGCAGTAGTGTGCATACTGTCTTCTTCAAAACGAAGAGGAAGAAGACATTGATTGTAGGTGATCCTTGTTAAACTTGTTTTTAAATATAAATTCCTGAAATTTTGCTCAAAGTGCAGACAATTTGCTCAAGTGGCTCTTCTCTAGCAAGTTCATTCTGTTTTTTTTTTTTTTGTGTCATGCTGTGACAGGGTCTTGGCAAAAACTCTTTATCCACTCTTGGCTCTTTCTGCCCTGCAGAAGCTCCACTGCAGTGACAAAGGTCTCTTGCAGAACTTGCACGTTTCAGTGTTGCAGTACTTATGTATTCAACTCTTAAAGCTATTGTCAGCAAATACAGGAATATAAAGACCAGCACATAATTAAGACCAACAAGTTATTTAGCCCTGTAACTTGCCTTCAACAGTAGATACCATTTAACAGGTCCACGATACCTGAAATAATTTCCAAACTGCCAAGTGCTTTTCAGCTTTTCACTTAAGGCGTCTCCTCTGCAATCTTCTAACCAATGAATCTTTGAAAGTGTAAGTGTTCAAGAGTTGGAAGGCTTCATCCTCCTATTCTAACAGTTTACTAGGGACCTTGGAAGTCTCCCAGTACCAGTCAGTATCTCCTGTTTGTTGCTTCTGTCTTTCCATTGGCTCTTCTTCATTGGGTAGTTGGGACTCTGCCTCTAGGAAAGTTCTGTTGGGTTTTAGATTTTCTGCCTTTAGTCATCCAAGAGGAAAATTTACAGAGTAAGATTAATAAGGCAGTGTGCAGTCACAGAATCACCAAGGTTGGAAAAGATCTCCAAGATCATCTAATCCAACCATCCACTTACCAACAATGTTTCCCCACTACCATGTCCCCAAGTACAACATTTATTTTGCCCTAAACATCTGGAAATCAAATCTCAAGTTTGGTGGAAAAAAACCTTGATGTCAGCCTTGAATTGTTCATGCTACTTTTGGTAGTACTTGGTACTACTGGCATTTGGTACTATCTAAGGCTATGCTAAAAGTCACAGAAGGAGGATGTAGTGAACAAGCATCAGATGCTGAATTAGCAGAATTAAAATATTGGCAAGGTTAAATCATCTCCGTAGGAAACAACTTGCACTGAGTATGTGTGTTGTGTGGTTTTCCCCTTAATGGTCTGTTGCTTCTTTGAGAGTTAAACAAACACATTTGGAAGTTCAGGGGTCAGAAGGAAACTCTTCAGTGCAGAATTCAGGAGTTCTTTCTATTCTATTACGATAAGTATTTCTGTGTTAGTCACTGACAGGTCAGGTGCTCTACACAGCCTCCTGTCCCGTGGTTCAGCTTAAGAGTAGAAGGAAGCGTCAGCAGACAGGTACATTTCAGAGCACGCTGAAATGCTCACAAAGGAAAGGGCAGAGATAAAGGTGATAACGATTCCTGAGGTGAGAGTGATGGATTTTATCTACTGGAATGAGTGCAGACAGAGGAGCATTTCCTCTGTTCAGCAATTGTACACCCACATCAGTGCAGTGCTTTGTTCAGCTGATCCATCCTGCACACCCTGATGCGTGTCAGGAAAAATGTGAAAAAGGATTTGGAGAGATTCAAAGCAACGTCAACTCCAGAAAAGCAACATGTATGCGATTTGCTGCTAAACATGGAGACTGGTCTCTCATCCAAGAGATTTCAAAGAGGCACTTCCTATCTTTGAAGTAATAATTGCTCGCCATATTTGGCAGTTGTTCATTCCTGGCTTAATTGGGTTTAGATTTTTTTCTCCCATAAAAACTGTCACTATACCACATATACAGCAAAGAGAAAATATGTGTGCAAATAGGACTTCAGTCTTAGGGGCAGAAATCTCTTTCCAGGCCATGAGATTGCAGCATGGAGCAAAGCTTATTTCACACTTTAAGGATTTTGCAAGGAACCTGAGGGCGATTTGGTACTCTATGAAGGTTTTATAAAAGTGTGCATCGAATCATAAGCCACCCTACATCTGAGAAGCTTTCCAACATCTCTCTGCTGTGGTGACTCCTACATATGAGTTGTATGCATCCTCTCGACACTGAGACATTGCTCAAAAATTAAGGTTCAAGTAGAGAAATGTAACATGGGTACTAAATCTGACCACTTGCTGCTAATGAGCTGAGAGCTTTATATCCAGATTGTTGCAGCAAAACCCAAAAAAGACACACACTCAAAAAAAAAAATAAAATAGTCATCTTCCCTAAATGAAATAGGATTCAGTACTCAGAATGGGGAGAGTTGTTGTATTCGATGTTTAATGTTGTGTGTTTACATGAAATAATAATGGAGCGTTATACAGTGGGTGTTCTTCTCAGGTTCTCCCTCACGTGTTCTCATTACTTGATGCTGCTTGTTTTAATGCCCTTCTGGTGGCAAAGGAACACCTAGCAATTCTGCTGAGTGTACTGACGTGGAACCTGTTGCTGAGGTTTGGGTTGGTTTTTGTTTTCCATCAGCCCAAGCTGTGAAAAGAGGACCAGGAACAGCAGAAAACAATCCCTCGTGCCAGAAGGTTTACAGACAAAATGAAAATATTTGTGAAATTGCTGAAGTTGCTTGGGAGTCCTCAGGCTTTGTGGAGAAGGAGATGAGGAGGAGAGAAAGATAACGTAGTAGAATGCTAAGGCTTCAAGTATTTTCATCCATGTTACGTATATCTGTATGTATAATGTGCATTTTTTGCTTTTTTTTGCTCCTCAACCTGTTAGTATCTGTACCCAGGACATAATGAATTATATTGTAAACTGTGGTTTTCTATGGGGAGAGTTAATAACACAGAATAACTCTTTTTTTTTCCTCGAGGACTTCACAGTTTCAGTAGAGAATTGTTGCCTACTGGGACTGTGGGTATTCTTTCAGTCATTCATTACTGAATTCCATCTCTGCTGTGTTTCAGCATTCAGAGCTATACTGGTTCGATCTGGCCTATTTCACACATTTCATGTTTCCTTTATGGTGTAATGGAGCATTATGCACACAAAGGTAATAGATCTCAGTTTATATTCTCTTCTCCCTGTCCTCTGTCCAATAAATTTGCTCTCCCTATATACCATCAGCATCTGGCTTTTTTTTAAATTTTTTTATTTTCTTTTTCTCTCACTGAACAGTTTGACACAGAAAGTGCTGATGTAAAACAGGACTGACAAGTGTACAGAGCTGTCAGGATCTGAAAGTTTGCAGATGTCTGTCTGCCTCTTTCTGCTGGGATTGGACTCCAAAGGCTGTGGAAGGTAATAGGGGCTAAGAGAACTCTTTCTGATCCAGCTCACAGACAAAATCACCAGGACTTTTCCATTCTCCTTCCTTAGTGTGCTGTCACCTGCTCAATGAGTGATTAGATACGTTCTATTTACTAAACACAGGGAGAAAAATAAAAGCATGGAGTTGGGGTTCACAGGGTAACAGAATAGCAGGGATTGGAAAGGACCTCTGGAGATCATCGAGCCCAATCCCCTGCTAAAGCAGATTCCCTACGATAGGTTACAGAGGAAAGTGTGCAGGCAGATTTTGAATATCTTCAGAGAAGGAGACTCCACAACATCTCTGGGCAGATTCTTCTAGTGCTCTGTCACACTCACAGTAAATAATTTTTTCCTAATATTCAGACTTAACTTCCCATGACCATGTTTGTGATCTTAGACACTTACTCTGTTGCTGGTCAGTGCTGAAGGGGGCCTGGCCCCATCTACTTGACTCAGGATTTGAACCTCAGAATGGAAGAATGTGAGGGTTGATGATAAAATCTTAAAAGGTGATCAATGGTGGCAAACTGTAAAGCAACTCAAATTTCATTTAATGAGGATTTTTTCATTCAGATCCTAAATTGAACAATTTAGTAGATCCTGTAAAAGATTCATAAGAACACAGAGCATTTCCTTTATATTCTCAGTTTCTAATGTGTTTTACCTTTGGATACCACTTGCATAACTTGTTTCATTGGGAAGGGTGTCTTTGTGACATGCTCTTTTCCCTTTTGTTTGTGCAGAAAACAAAGTTAGATTTTATGAAAATGAGGCTGATACACTTGCTTTTTCTCCTGACTATCCACTGGCTATGCCATTCGTGTTTATAATACGCATTGCAGTGGTGGTTTTGTGTTGGCTTTCTTTTTAAAGTGTCTTTTAATTCCAATTTCTTGAATGTAGGACTTCTATTTGTAATAGTACTGCCTTAGTGATCTTACTCTGTAAAAACATTAAGCAAAACATAAAACTTAGTCTAGAATGTGAGTAGCCATAAAAACGATGTGCTCAGTGTTTGAAAGCTGCTTTGTTTGTGAAATCCTTAATCCAGTGCAAATTTGTATTCATTGTTTTGCATTTGCAGTGGGATCTTGGCTTACATAGTTTGGATAGTATCTATCTATGATCAGCATTTATCTGTTAAGAAAAAGTAGCGCATTCATCTGTATAACAATGAGATGAAGCTTTCTGCTTAAATGGTAGACTAAGATTAGAGAGAAACTACAAAGAAATGCAAAAATACCCTAATTTGACATAGTAATGATTGTTAAGAAGTGTAACATTCTTTGTGAGAATGTGAAAGTTATAGAAGAGTATAATAGAAGCAAATTAATGTTCACATACCTTTCAAATTGGATGTGTCATCAGAAGTGAGAGAGTTGTGTGAGTGAGGAGCAAGACTGGAAGAACTTAGCATAGAAAAGAGTTTGTAAGAGAACTTCCAAGTCTCAGATAAGGTCTTAGATCAAGTGTTGGTAGGAAGTGGTATTGTGCATAGTCTGATACAGCTCGAGTGCATACTTTGGCTAGCTGTGAAGTATATCGTGACCTTCAAAATTTGAAAATCTTACTTTGGGATAATCTGAGAAGCAAGAAGGATTTAGAGCCAGTCCTTCAGGATTCATACTATTCTGAGACTGCTTACAGGGGCAGAGATGCCTGTGTTTGCCCTCATGCTATTTTCTTTCCCTCGTGGTGTTTTTATTGAGGCATTCTATTTTAAGTGGGAGCTGAAAGATGGAGACAGAAGATAAGGTGAGGAGCATCCCTGCTGGCTAGTTGCACAGTACATGCTATAGGAGAGGAACAGCTTTTCCCTATCTGCTTGTGTTCAGCTCTTGTGCTGAGCACGGGACTAAGGAAGCTTGTAACTGTAGACTTGATTCTTTCGTTTCTCAAGTATGTAGCTCTCCCATGACAGTTGTTTTCTGTCAGATGAGCTGCATGTGTTCACTGAAAAGTCTGAATTTCAAGCTGTTACGACAGTTTTAGTAGTGCTGTGTTGTTGTAAAATGTAGCCCTACTGTTCAGCATTGTGTCCAGAGTCACAAACTTATCAGAGAACTTGAGACTACTGGGTGTTGAAGAAGTTTTCTGCCACTGAAAATAAAACAAGAAGATCACAATTATAGTAAAATAGATATTTTCTTATTCCTTTCTTTTCTGTTTGACGTTCTCAACTTTAGCACTCAAAGGTCACAGAACCTGTATAGGGGTGGACAAGCATGCCCATAGAAGCTGTGGAGTCTCCGTCCCTGGAGACTGAATAAAGCCCTGTCCCAGCTGGCCTTGCTTTGCTCCCCAGAAGTCCCTTTTACCATAATTATTGCAGTATTCTATCTACTAATGTGGATTGGAAACTCCCACGTGGTATTAGCCAGTCACTGCATCCAAAGCAAAACCACTGCTTCGTGAGCATGGGTGCAGGTTGCCCGTAGAAGATCACAATTATAGTAAAATAGATATTTTCTTATTCCTTTCTTTCTTGTTTGCACTGCTTTATGAACTTTTCCTTAAGCTAATACAGACCTCCTACGTTTTGAATGATTTACTGTGTATAAAATTGAAATGTGCCACTCGTTGCTGGAGTTCTACTCAAATGCCAGTAAGATAATACTTAAAAATGGTTACCTTTCCTAGAGCTTAGATGATATTTAAATTCCTCTGTAGAGTTAGATATACTGCTAGCCCCTTTTGCTGCAGAAAGGCCAAACATTTCCATGAGTTGGATTTTATTGATGCATGTCTCTCATCTCAGTAACAGTTTGGCCTTCTGGTTCTGGAAGAGAAGTGAAATGTATGTACTAAGATGTGTTTGAAAAAGAGCAGCAAACCTAAATCTTTGTAGAAAAAGCTGCTGTCAAACACGAGAAACCAATTTGCTAGTTGAAGTTAGATGAACTGGGCACTTTCCAGTTCACTGAAATCTTAAGGGAAAGCTATCTTTGGAAGTGGTAAGGTTGTGGCTGGAGGAAGGTCTCTCTTCAAGATGAGGTTTATACCTGAGAGAGAAGGGGTATCTCCAACAATAGAGTACAGCTAGCTGCACCCTGAAGAACAGATACAGCCAACAGAAATGGAGGAGGCTTAGATGAGAATGCCTGAACCGGGTGGGTGATCTTGGTGCGGCCTAATAAAAATCAGAAGGGTACACTGCCTCAACATGAGGCTGGCTTACACGTATGCCTGCGTTTCAGTGGGCCTTCTAGTGGAAGGGCATAAATGATGAGTGGATGAAGTAGGTCCTTCCCAAGACCTGGGTACTTGTAGCTTTGGGGAGAAAGTGCATCAAACTGCCTTGCCCACATCCTGTTTCTCCAACAGGGAGAATGTGGAGCCGTCCTGACTTACTGCTGGTACATTAAGATGGTAAGCAGAGGATGGGCCTGTTAGTACCTAATTAACCTACCCCAGTTAGTCCTGTTTCCCCAGCCACTTCTGTTGTCCAGTGGAAACACAAGTAAGATTTCTAAATCACCGAGCAAGGTCATATAACTGAAATATTTTAAGCAAAAAGGCACTGACATACACTCAAAAATTAGTAGTGTTAATGTCGTGGATTCTAAACAGATGTTTCAATACAGAGCTTTTTTTCACCAGCTTTTAAACTCCTTCAGTTTCCACAGCTTACAGATTCAGCAGAATATTCAGTGTGGAAGAAATTTGTTAACACAGGAAAAGACTGTTTGAGAAGGCAAAAAAAATAGGTATTGTTGTGGATGAGGAAGGAGACAACAGGAGATGGTATTTCATTGTAATAGGGATCACGGCAAAGACTGGAACTAGAGTGGAACTACCCACACGAGGGAGAGGGGATTTTGTTGAGAACACTGTCTGGTGCAGATCTATTGATTCCTGTCTTACAGATGCTTGGTTGGTTAGTTTTTGTTTTGATTCCTTAATTTCTCAGTGGCATAGTTTTCAACTGCAGATTTCTTTGGAGCTGGCTATTAGAAGCAGTATTTTCAAGTGATCCTCAGTGCCAGAGTTCACTTATTTCCCCTCAAAAATTGTCACTGTAATTGTATGCTTTTCTTTTTGTGCTCGCCGTAGCAGCTGTGCTCTATCTGTTCGTCCTGGTGACTAATGGCAGAGTTTAGATGTAATCCTCTACCGATTATGATCATATATCATAATTCTATCTTGCAAAAGCTATACTTCGGTAAAAGGGAATGTAGTATCATTTGTATTTATGGTCTTGTTCAAAGGAGTGATGTGAGGTTAATTGGAAGGTTAATTAGGAAAGGTTTAATCTAAAGGCAGCAAGTCTAATCTCTACTTTCAGATTCATGAGAGTGCACTTTTCACTCAGCTCTTCCAATAAAAGCAACGCTCCTTAGAGATAAAGATCTCTGACACAGCAGGCAATTCCATTTATTTCAAGGCAGTAAAAGTTCACAGGAGTGCTCACCTGGAAATGCAGCAGGGGGATTCTAGCTGCTCTGGCTGTGCTGTGCCAGCCACTCTAATCCTTCTTGCGTGTTATGGAAAATCAAAATTTTGAAAGGAAATGTAGGAGTTAAATGAAGCTTTCTGACAAAACAGCAGGAGACTGATGTGAGACACATTCTGCCTTTTTGATGACCACAACAAAGTTTTCAAGGTCAATAACAATGTCACCATCTGGTGCTCTGCATTTTTTAATCAATAAGCACGAGAAAGATGAATTGCTCTTAAGATTAATAGCCAATCAGCACTGTAAATGTAACAGCCAAAGCCTGAAAAAAATTACGTACTATTCTATTAAGTTGACCTTCATACAGCCCAGCCCTGCCTTGAGCACCTGTGGATGTTTCTGCAATAAGGGATTAGATAGTGTAATGGTACTTTTAGGCCAGAGCAATACATAATCTTCTAAATAGGCAGTGAAATATAGGGCTTGCTCTAGCTGAGTAGCTGCTGCCATGCTCTCTTCTGCAGGGCTGACAGTCTTCAAGCTGCTCCTGTAATAGAGGTGAGCCCTGGAAGCTTCTTGCTAAGTTTGCTTCTGGTGCTCTCACTGCATCGAGGCAGGAGTAACCAAGTACTTTTCTTCCACTCATCGTTTTGATACTTCTGCTGCTTCTTCCCATCTCAGTCTTTTTTCTCCCCAGTGCTTTATGGGCTCTTACAGCAACAGTGAGAGAAGGAAGGAAAGGTAAATAAGTTCTACAAGTGCCTGAAAGGAATGAGAAGAAGGCATAAATGGCATAGAAATAAGAGACAAAAACACCAAAAGGGCGGGCAGTGAGAGAATGTGCACATAGGATGTAAATCACAGAGTGGGGCAATGATCTTTGTGCTCGACCACACCACTGTTTCCGTGACATCATAGCTTAATGTCCTAAGCTCTGGGAGCACCCATTGAGTATTTCAGGCTGGATAGTTGCAGCTATTCACGTTTCCTGCTTTGTTTTTGATGTTAATTCTCTTCTTGTGTTGGTTTTTTGTTTTGTTGAATTGCATAATTGTATTATTAAAAAAAAAAAAAAAAAGGCACTAAATCAACAATAAAAAGCATTAAGATTCTAAATCACAGAAATCCAAGGTGCTGTAGAGCATGAGGAATAAGTAGACACCTGAATGCTGAGAGGAGCAGAAAGATGGTATTTGAGTTCAAGCGTTCAGTTTACTGCTGAAGCCTAAACCCAGGCAGCAGGCTAAAGAGATGAAAAGATTATACTGAGGGCTCTTAAGTCTTCAGATGGATTCTCTGGAAGTACACTTTAAGGCAAATGGAGCACTCCAGGAAGTCAGCTGTTGCAGGCATTGAGAAGAGGGCTGTTTTTTGAAGTGCAACTTTTATCTTTCACAACAGTGTATTAATTCTCTTTTGTCTTTTTAGTTTCATGGAAAAGAAAAAAAAAGTGAAGGTATCTGATTATGGGCACATTGTTTACAGGGATGTGCTATTCTGACAACTCCCCTTATCTGTACGTGTCACGTGTAGTTTTAAGTTCATTTGAAATATTCTCACCATATGCTCCAATATTCAAGACTTATCACCTCTGCCATTATATTATTCTTTTTCTAACTTAAGTGTTCATTTTTGCTTTTATTCAGATCAGCATTGATGTTTTTTGTTGTCAGTACTCAATAACCT